TTTTGGTCTTTTTGAGATAGGATCAGCTATGTAGCTCAGGTTGGCCTTGAACTCACTTTGTGGCCAAGGCTGGTCTTGAACTCAAGTTTCCTCTTGCCTCAGCCTCCTGAGTGCTGGGATTGCGGGCAGGTGCTACCATGCCCAGCGTCACATTTCTTTTTTTCTTTCCTTTTTTTTTTTGGTGGAACTGGTGATTGAACCACATTTCTTAATTAAGTAGAACTGTAAGTGGCCCAAGCTCTCCAGATTCCATCGAGACCTGGTGGAGTATGCCACTGAGTCCGGCCGAGCTCACCTTGTTACCGTGGTACTTAGCCAGTGTCCCCAACTTTCCATGGGATTCCCTAGGAAGTGAACAGAGCGCTGCAAAAGTCACCCTCGCGTCAAGGAACTGCAGTCTTTTCCTCTCTTAGCTGCTGGGATTCTTTCGATCAAGGTTAAAACATTAGAATTTTCCAATAGAAGCAAGAGTGCATCGTGCAGTCACTTATAGGCACAATAGTGCCGATTCACTGCAAGTCCTGCGGCAGATTAGCTGCTCAGTGGTGTTGAAATGACATTGCTTGGCGGACACTGGCCCAGTACCAGCAGGAGAAGGCGTAAGAGTGGTCCTCTTCTGAACACTGAGCCCCGGGAGACAGAATTGGCAAAGGGACCCCTTGGTCCCCCACTGGGATTAATTAGCCAAGCACAGAGGAGGTTGGGATGACCTGTGCATAGGACGGGAGAGGCCGAGGCTGAGCAGAGAAGAAACAGGCACTGTCCCGGCCTCCTGCCTGCACGGCCCCCTGCATTCAGAGATGAGTCTGGCTGTGGTCTGACATCACCAGGCTGTTGTTCAGGGACTCGGAGGGAGCATCAGAGAAGGCGGAAGCAGTCTTGAAAAGTGGGGTTACTGACCTGAAAGGGGTCATCTCAATGAATGTCATGCTGCTTTCTGTGGCCATGTTTATCTTGTTTGCAAATGCAGTGAAGCCAAGAATCTGCGGGAGCCAAGGGAGACATAAGATTATTTAAACACCCAGCACTGCTTCTAGGAGCAAAGGCGCGCACAGCCTCTGGTGGGGCCGGGCAGCAGTCTCTGCTTCAAGCTGAGGCCTAGGCAAGGTCAGGTCAGTGGGCAGCAAAGGCGATGGCCCTTCCGGTTCTCCTGAGGTCCTTTTGGTGCCATAGCCAAAGCACTGTCACCCTTAGTCTCTGACCCAATGATGGTGTTGCAGGCAGCCTAAGTTAGATAGAAATATTGTAGGCAGTTAGTGTCAGGCCCTCGAAGGGATGACAAAGACCAGACACCTTACTGGGGGAGATGCTCCTGGTGTGAGCCAGACCTAAAGATCAAACAAATGCTGACCTCCCTAAAGTTGGCATCCACGATTGCTCATCAGTTGTTTTTTTGTTTGTTTGTTTGTTTTTTAAATATTAACACTTTTAATTTAATCTTTTTTTTTTTGCGGCACTGGGGATTGAACTCAGGACCTTGCACTTGCCAGGCAAGCACTTATTCTACTGAGCTATCTCCCTAGCCTGCTCATTAGTTGGGAAGAATCATCGTCTGAAGGCCACCAGATAAAGTCCTGTGCTACATTCACGCCCGCTTGCTACGTGACTTGCTACCCCATTTGGTCCTGGGCCTAATCAGTTTTACCTGAGCAAATGGTGCTTGTAATCCCATTTGTTGACCAAGGTTTAGTTCTACCTTGCATCTGCCTAAGTGAGACCCCTTTGTCTCTTCCTCAACCCAGCATGGTTTTACCCTATAAAAGTCCCTGGATGAAACAGCTTCCTGGGCAACCCGCTCAGGTCCCCCTTCTGTCCCTCTCTGACAGAAGCTTTCCTTTCCAATAAAGTTTTACTCTCGACCTCCATTTGTTCCTAAAATTCATTCTTTGGTTTTAAGAGAACACGAACTCATCCAGGTCAGGTCGGGAGTTTCACGTCCCTATATCAATGGGAACAGACAAGGCCATGGGCCTTTTCCCCCTCCCCCCCCAATGTTAGACATGACGTGTTTCCAGACAATGCTTGTGTCCTGGTCTCACTTTTATCACTCTTTGGATCCAATACACCACACCACATAGGTGAGGCTCGTAAGGCATGGTTGGGGTATAGTGCATGAAAGTCATGTGAGTAATTCTAAATAATATGGAGAGGCACTTAGAAGCACAAGGACAAAAGGCCTCGCTGAAGCACTTAATTATCTGGGATTTTCCTCCCTTCCATTTAGCTCTAAAAATGGCAATTCTCTCTTTAAGTCTGACTTTTGGCTAGTGGGAAAGTTGACAAGCTGGAAGCTGATACTTCTCCTAATAATCTTGCATCAGAGCATGTTAAGCCAGAGACAAGTGACCTCAATGTCCAGGTTTTAGCTGGGTATGGTAGCGCATACCTGCAATCCCAGGACTCAGGAGGCTGAGGCAGGAGGATTGCCACAAGTTTCAGGCCAGCCTGGGCAATGTAGTGAGTTCAAGACCCTCCTGAACTACATAGTGAGACCCTATCTTAAAAAAAAAAAAAAAAAAAAAAAAAAAAAAACCCAAAGAAACAGAACCAAGGTTTTAAAATAATAATTAGGGCTGGCGAAATAGCTCAGCAGACTAAGTGCCTGCTTTGGTAAGCACAGGGACCAGGGTTTGACTCCTGGTTCTGCATGCTGCACTGGCCCCACCTGGGGTACACTGAGCTGACGAACGAGTCCAGTTGTGCCAAAGCACTGGGGAGGCAGAAAACTGGAGGATCACTACAAGTCTGAGCTACGTAGTGAGGTAGTGAGACCCTGTACCAAATACATACATGGAAAAAATAAAGTAAAATAAAAATAAATAAAACAATAATTACACAGTTGCTTCAACCCATTATTCCTCCCCCCACAAGGTCTTTTGCCAGCACCTGCTCCGAGAGGCCTGAGAGATGCGGGGGGTGGGGGGCAGTGGTTCAGCTGTGGTGCTGTGAGCAGATGAAGGCTCCCAGGGAAGCCTCCAGATCTGATGGAAGACCCTGGGTCGTAGCTTGGGTCAGGGAAGAGGAATATTAATTTTTATATAGTTAATGGGAAGGAAGTACGGCAAGTGGCCAGGGAGCTGGTATTTCTAGTATAAATGCGATACTTGCTCATAAATGCAAATAAAGAAATATGAAAAATTAGAAAGCAGAAATAAGTCTTGCAAAGGCACTAGTCTTTTTTTTTTAAATTTTTTTAGATTTATGTACAGGGGCCTCAGTAGAATAAGCACCTGCCTGGCAAGCACAAGGGCCTGAGTTCAATCCCCGGTTCTGCCAAAAACAAAACAAAACAAAAAAGATTTATGTATAGGCCAGTGAGATAGCTCAGAGGACTAAAGCACCTGCTTAGACAGCTTAGGCAAGTGCAGGGACTGTGGTTCAATCCCTGGCACCACATGCCATGCCAGCCCCAACCCCAGGGTGGGCTGAGCCAGGCACAAAAAAAAAAAAAAAAAAAAGCAAAACATTTATGTATTTGTTTGGTACAGGGTCTTGCAACTCAACTCAGAGTCATAGTGATCCTCCTGTCTCAGCCTCCTCAGCCCTGGGATTACAGGCATGTGCCACCATGGGGGCTGGCACAGCGCATGGTACTGGGGATCAAACCTGGGTCCTTGCAATTGCCAGGCAGGCGCTTAGACCGCTGAGCTATCTCCCCAGCCCCAAAGGGATTAGTCTTTACTTCTATTTTGTATTTTCTCTATAGCTAAAGTACACAAACACACAAATTGTGAACATACAGTATGTGTCATTTCATAGGGCCAGGGGACTCTTAAGTTGTCAATATATTTTGCCTAGATCCCAGATATTGACTTGAAATTTTTCCTGAATATTTGATACTGCCATCTTTCGGCCAGACTGAGGAGTGTGAACAATTTTCTCCAGCATGTCAGGGCTGCGGCTGCGCAGCTGGCAGAAGCTTTTCAACTCCTGAGTGTCTTCTTTCCTTGCTGCTAGGAGATAGGAAGGGCCTCCTCCGGTCCTAGCTGTATCTCTGATCCCTGCTATGTGGAGAACTGCAGGTTCATCACTTGATTTAACACATGTAAAAGTAATATGTACAGGCCTTCATGGTCTGTTTTGACAAAGAAGTTAAATGTGTAGAGGCAATAAATCTAGGGGACTCCCCCCATTGCAGGTTTCCTCTGCCATCTCACCCCATGGTACTTGATAGTCATTTACAACATTCCCCCAAAGAATATCTTAACTGGAGCTCTCCAAACAGCCTGTCACCCATTGTCATAGCATCCTCTACACACTTGCTTTTCTCCTTTCTTTGATGATCCTGGTTCATGGCCTTCGTCTTTGAGGCCACTTCAAGGGATGTCACCTCACTCTTGGCAGCAGCTCCCCCAAGGGAAGGATGCTGTCTGTGTCGCAGAGGCTGACTATTGGTGAGGCCAAAGATACAGCTGGGCCAGGTTGCCCCTGGTTCCTGTCCCCGAATTCCACACACCTGGCTCCCTGAGCTCTAGGCCACCACTGTTTCATCCAGAGTTTTGTAGAACCCGTTGTAAGAGAAGGCTTTCAGCCTCTGGACTCCATAAATGAATAGCTTTTCCTACTCAAAAGAATAAAGAAGCGTGTCTCCACAACAATAGCTCACTGGTAGGAGACAGCTTGGTCTCAAGGCAGTGCTTTCCAATCTTAGAGAGATGGACCCAGGATAGTTAGTACAAGATAACACGCACTGTGGCGATGTACAAATCACAGAGATTTTAGCATTGCAACACAGAGAAATAATAACAATTATTATTATTATTGTCATTATTTTGCCCACAGGTATCTACAAGGGGTCAGTGGCTGTCCAGGACAGCCTCTTTGCAAATAGCATTTCAGGGACCCAGGGTCATTCTATCTGGGGCCTCCATAATCTTAACATACTTCCCCTTCATCCAGACAAGGACCTGGGAACTTACTCGGACTCATGTTTGCTTTGGCTTAAGTCACAGAGTCTTCCTAACTACAAGGGAACCCATGCAATGTGGAATGATTCTCGCATATATCCAAGAATTCAGCAGCCCCAATATGAAAAATGCTGCCATTAAGAACCCTGAGCAGGGGCCGGGGAGATGGCTCAGTAGAATAAGTGCTTCCTGTAAGCGCAAGGGTCTGAGTTTAATTCCCGGTTCTGAAAAAAAAAAAAAAAAAAAAAAAGAACCCTGAGCATAAGAGCAAAGCCCTGGGCTCAGTCTCGCTCAGTCTCTGTCATGGTTTGGGGTTTTTGCAAGGTAAACACTACAATACAGGACACACTTTATAAGATTATTTCGTGATAATGCAAAGAATCATATACAAAGACTGCGGGAAATCTGTCCACACGCTAAAGACCAAAGAATCCTGCTGAGGGCCTGGATCCTAATACCTTGCATGAGTCCAGCTGAAAACCCAGAGCCCATAACAATGCCTCCCATGAGTTCAGCTGGAGGTCTAGAGCCCACAGATGGGCTCAAGCAGGCCCACTTCATGGATCTGTGCTGGAAAGGCCCAAAGGTCAGTGGTGGAAGCCAGCATGTCTATGCGAGTGGGACGAAGGATCTGTGCTAACCGGCCGAGGAATCTGCATTGGAGCCAGGAAGCAAGGCTCCAGCAAAGCACCAGAGCTCCACAAAGCACCACAGCCAACCTCAGCAGCAGTGAGGTTCTGAGCTCCTCCAGCGACGAGGAAAGCTGAGCACTCATCCAGAAAGCCAACACAACAAGCTTCTCCACGAGGCTGAGCAGTGCACCATCTTCCCTCCTGAAGCCAGAAAGGGATGCTCAAGATGAGGGTCAGTGCGCCTCCTAAATGAACTGTAGCCATTCTCAGTGAAAAAGAAGTTCCAGTCCTCCTCCAGTGACAAGAACAGTCAAGTCATCAGGAAAGCCAGCATGATAAGTTCCTCCAGCAAAACAGCCCAGGAGAACCAGAGGCTCCCTAACGGCTTCCCAACAGCTTCCCTACTTCTCTCTCCTATGCCACCAGCAACAGCCCTCAGGTGGCTGCCCGCACCCAGCACCAAGCTGGTTAGGTTGAGCTGGGTCTAACAAGTTGACAACCACTTAGCAATCCACTACAGTCTCTAACACCATACACACAGACAGAAGACCCTGAGCCTATGGATAAAAACATCTGTAGAAATATTAATTATGACTACAAGAGATAAATTTAATCAGGAGACCTTTAGAAAGAAACAAGAAGTGCTGTTATTAGGCCGCAGAGAGCTCTAGCTCTACTACTTACTAGCATTAGAGAGAAGACAAATAACATCATGGCTGCTGCACTTGCCTTACTGCAGGTTTATGGGGATAAAAGAAGCCTGAATAACAGCACGGTTGCAACTATATTAAAATACAAGCAAAACTTCCACATACAAAAGGGTGGCTCCGTGCTGGCCCTGCTCCTGGGGTACACTGAGGCTGGGTGTGGCAACGCGCACCTGTAATCCCAGTGCTTGGGAGACTGAAAACAGGAGGATCACTACATGTCGGATCTGTGTAGTGAGACCCTGTAGACCATGTGCTAAATACATTTTTAAAAAAAAGATGGCTGTTCACCAACTCTGAGCATAGTTCCGTCATGTTGGAAGAATAAAGCAAAATAACAAAGTACCAATAGTTGTTTGGCTTGGGATGATACAACTACAGGAGTGTATAGAAAGAAATGTTGCCTAAAAGAAAGGGTCTTGCTGAATGGCCAAATTTCCTGGGCTGTGCCCAAACTTTCAGTCCTCCTATCTCAGCCTCTCTTGCCGGTATTATAGGCATGTGCCGACAGCTGTACCTGGCTAGTATTCACTTAAAACTAGTGACTGCAGGTTCTGGCCCTAGTATGAATTGCTAAAATCATCATGGTGGTCATCTAATGTGGCCCACGCCCTTAAAACAAAAGCTGGGGGGGGGGGGGGCCTGGCCCTAGCTCAGTTGGGCTGGTGAGACGGCTCAGTGGTCTAAAGCACCTACTTAGAACAAGCTTAGCAAAGCACAGGGACCGCGGTTCAATCCCCCAGCACATGCCAGCCAGCCCCGCCCCCTGGTGGGCTGAGCTGGCCACACACACACACACACACACAAATAAAATTAAAAAAAAAAAAAAAAGCCCATCATCCCAAGGCCCCCTCCCCCTGCTCTCCACCTTAGTGCAGGACACAATTTCCTTCCACCTTTACCAGCGCCTCAGGGAGGAGGAAGTCAGCGCCCTCAGGGAAGTCAAGGTCCTCAGGTACATCTAAACATCCCCTCCAAACGCCACTCCTGGCAAAAGGCTGCAGAAACCTCAACGTCCCTTTGTTCCAACTGAGAATTCCTCATCCTTCCCCACATTCTCTCCCTTGTCCTCAAAGAAAATAAAGCCCATTTCCCTTCTTCCTTCTACCTGTTTCTCTGCGGCTCTAAGTACCTATTAGTGACTATTCTGCTTTTACATAATTCAACATGTTTTCTGAAGTGTTTTTACTTTTACAGCTTCTAGGAATCTTTGCTTTTTTAGGTTATTTGAGGTTTTACTTCAGGTTACTAAACAGGCATCTACACTGTTCTGAGCCAGTGGGTGTGGTGGCACATGCCTGTGACCCTAGCACTTCAGGAGGCTGAGACAGGAGGATTGCCATGAGTTTGAGACCAATCTGGCTACATAGTGAGTTCAAGGCTAGATTGAACAATGTAGTGAAACTTCATCTTTGCCAATAGAATATCCACCTCTGACAGGACTAAACAAAAGAAAAAAAAAGGGTGGGGTACAAAGGAAAGATCATTTTGTATTTATATATACAAAATAATTAGGATAGATATGCAGCTATCTTCGCTTAATTCAATGAGAAGAAAGAGGTGTACTAATAGTGTTTGGACAGGATATCCTGTCTGCATCTTGTACTATGGATAACCACTAAGAAGATAACAATGTACAATGTATTGATTATCAAAAGTGTCCAATTAATCAGCTTTGAAACTGTCTCATTCATATTTGTTTCTCAATAAAATTAAAATAAAAAAATAAAAAGAAACTTTATCTTTAAAAAAAAAATCTGAGCCATGAAATCAGAGCATCAGAAACACCTACCAGAGGGGCCGGGGAGATGGCTCAGTAGAATAAATGCTTTCCTTGCAAGTGCAAGGGCCTGAGTTCAGTCCCCAGTTCCGCAAAAAAAAAAAAAAAAAACACCTACCAGAAATAATTCCATGGGAAATTCGATGGGATAATGATTGAAAGAAATCCGGATGCACTTGTTGATTCTCAGAGCAACAACTGCAGTCAGAAAGAGCAGGATGCTGGTGGAATTCGCTTTGGGGAGAGCCACGCAGTAGTTCAGGATGTTCTGAAGGGAAACAGAGTTACAGCCCAGAAAAGGACATTCTTCTCCATTTGTTAAAAAAGGACGTCCCTGGGGCCGTGACTGGGCCCCAAGGTGTTTTGTCAGTGGTGGTGTTTTTGTTTACTTGTTTGTTTAGGCTACTGAGGATTGACCCCAGGGCTTTTGCCCTAGAGGTGTGATCAAGATCTAAATCTGATATTTTAAATTTTAAAAAAATTAGTAGAGTAAAAGACACATTCCCACGAATCCCCCTCAGAATATTCCCCCTGGTTTTGAACACACGCATCCCATCCTTTTTTTTTTTTTTAATTCTGTGTTTAGGGCAGCATCTGTAGGGTGTACAGGGTCTCACTGCCTAGATGGGGCTGGCAGTGAGCCTCCGGTTTTCAGCCTCCCAATTCTCGCACTTTCTGAAGCAGCTCTGGAAGTGCTTTTCATGAGCGTCTTCCTTTGTGCTGCTGTAAATGTCTCAGTGTGCTGAAGTGATTCGAAATCTTTCTTTCTTGGTCATTTTGACTTTGGGGAAGTCACACAGGGCAGACCCCAGGGATAAGGTGGGCAAGAGAGCAGGGCAAGTTTGTTGCAAGCCTGCCTTTTGGCTGGCTGGCATCTGACAGTGACACCTCATTATTTAAATCACAACTTAAAAGGTCACAAAGGAGGACTTTCAGAGCTACTGCTGAAAATGGCAAGAAGGATGGGATGTGTTTGAACAGCAGGAGGATCTGAGGGGAGATTAATGGTAACATGTCTTATACTGTAATACATTTTTAAAAACTTAACCCTGGGCCGGGGAAATAGCTGAGTAGAATAAGCACTTGCCTGGCAAGCACAAGGGCCTGAGTTCAATCCCTGGTTCCACCAAAAAAACCCTTAACCATTGGGGAAAAAAAAACAAAACTTAACCATTGAACATACATTCTAATCACTCCTTGTATACCCCGAGCTCTCTTTTTATTTTTTATTTTGAGAGAGGGTCTCACTAAGTCTCTAAGCTGCCTGGACTCGGTTCAAACTTCCAATCTTCCCACCTCAGCTCTCCAGAGTGCTGGGATTACAAGCAAGTATCAAGCCCGGTTGGCACTAAGGTTGATTGACTGACTGATTGATTTGTGTCTTTTTGATACAGGGTCTTGCTCCGCAGTTCTGGCTGGCCTTGAGCTCACTGTGTAGTCCAGGCTGGCCTCGAACTTGCAACGGTCTTCCTGCCTCAGCCACCCCTGGGATTACAGCTGCGTACCTCCGTACCTGACCTGGCACCAAGATTTTTATGAGTAGCTGGTTTAAATCTACAAGAGGTGAAACTGTCCCCGGGACTCTGCTGCCTCAGCTGCCCGCCAGCTGATTTTGGATCCCGGGGTGGGCGGGAGGCTCTCGTCTCCGCCCGGCCGCTGCCCCTCCGAGGTCACGGAGGGGCCTCTGTAACCCTGGCGAGGGGCTGAAGTTACTCACGTAGAAGAAGGCAACCGGACCGGCGTGGAAAGTGATCATCACCCCGAAGACGAAAGGCAGCTGGGACAGCACGACGTGCAGCGCCGCCGCGGCCAGGTAGGCGTTGACCACGGCCTCGGGGAGGTACATGGCCATGAAGCCGATGCCCAGCACGCCCATGGAGAGCTGCGGGCGGGAGGGCGGGAGAGGGCAGGCGGCGGATGTCAGCCAACTGGTGCAGGACGGCCTGAGCACCCCGTCCCTCCCGTGGGTCTCCACAGCTGTCCCTGTTTCCTGGTCACCCCAACACACCCTGCAGGCTCCCACCTTCACCCCATCCCTACCCATGAGCCTGTCTCCGGTTTTATCATTCTGCCCCTTTCAGAATGTGGCCGAGGTCAGCTAACTTCTCCTATGTTCAATCTCACTGATATTTACCTGTTTCTTTGGTTAACGTTTGTTTGAATGATGCATTTTTGCATTCATTTACTTTCAATCTGTATTATTATATTTTATGGTAATTTCTCATACATAGTATATTTTTAACATAATATTACACAGCATGTTTGTCCTAATTTTTTATCCCACAGGGTCTCACTATGTAGATCAGACTCAGTGATGCTTCTGTTTTCAGCCTCCCAAGTTGCTGAGATTACAGGTGCACCCCACCACACCCAGTCTCAATCACCCCCTCTTCAGTGCGCCCCAGGGGAGGGCCTGGCACATGTCTGTAATTTTTTTAGTTTATTTTGCTTTTCTCTCCTCCCCCCTCCCCC